AACTTCATCTGTAAATGATGAAAAACAGATGAAAAAACTTCATCTGTATAATGTAAAACATACGGTAGATGTAGACCTGTGAATGGATTTCTTGATATCTTTTAAACTGTTGCCGTGGCAAAGCTCAAACTTTGAAATTATTTTAGGATGCTTTTGAGACTCTTAGCATGCTTGAAATTGCATGAAACTCAACAGACACATCACATTTATTAGCCAGTAGACATGTGCAAAGTTTCAGAAACGGCATTGTGCAGGACTAAATAGCGCCACCTTTTGAAGTGGGGTTGTTATTTTTATCTACAGTTAACAAAAATCGTTATATACATTGTACTCCTCAGCCAGAACAACTTTCTAATTCATAGTCATTAGCTCAGGACCAACGAGAAAAGTCAGATATTTTGGTTTGAATATGTGAGAACTCTCTCTGAGCCTACGTCCGTGTATGGAAGCCCTTTAAACATTTAAAAGCTAAAGTTGCCTAATCCGGAAATTAACATTGTCAGATATCAAACAATGTCTTCTGTCTAGTCGTAAATTACAATTTTGGATAGTTTGTATTATTATTTAAGAATATCTTGTAACATAAAATTGTGACTAGTCAAAATGACAGAGTATGGCAAAGCCGTTTTAACATTGGTAGATATAACAAGTCTTTCTGTCTAGTCGTAATACATTTTGATGTTTGTATTATTATTTAAGATATCTGTTAACATAATTGGTTGACTAGTCAAAAATGACAGAGTATGGCAAGGCGTTTTTAACATTTAATCATGAAAGGCCAAAGCCTTCGGCACCGCCCCACCCGGTGCCTTTAGGTAACTAAAGGAGCCGGGGTTGCGGTGTCCCACCGGCTTGGGCCCGCCATCGCTGCTCGAGCTATATTTATTATTATTCTTTTGTAACCTTTGGGCATTTTTTGGGCCCTTAACGTGCTCGAAAACTCTTGAAACTTTGCACATTGGTCAGAACCCGCGGCCATCAGAGCCGGGCTGAAGCTGTACCCGGGCGTGGCAGGGCGGCTCGTCAGCGCCCCCTGGAACGGGGTTCCGAACACTTGGTCCATAACTCAAACACGTTTGTATATAATAATATGAAACTCGGTGCACATGTTGATCTCATAGTTCATCTATACCTCGCGCTTTTACTTTTTACCCCCAGCCCAACAGGAAGTCGGCTATTGAGGTTTGTTTGTAAAACGCTCGCAATGGAATGTTAAATACTCCTCCTAGAGCTTTGATTCCAAATTCGACAAAACTCGGTCAGCATGAAGTCAAGACATTGAGGATGAAAGTTTGCGAGGGGATTTTTGATATCTCGAACGGTTTGGCCGTGGCGAGGAAACGAAATCATGGCGAGAAACGTGAACCAGGAAGTGTGTTATAACTTCAGCATACATTAACTGATCTTGATGAAACTTCAGCAGTGTGTTCGCTGTAAGAGGACGATCACATGGATGTGACTATTGTGAGTCAAAGTTATAGCGCCACCAACTGGCAGCAGGAAGTGTGTCACTTTCAAAATGCTTTGATATCACCCTTTTATTTTTACCCGATTTGCTTCAAACGTCATCTGTATAATGTAAACATACGGCAGATGTAGACCTGTGAATGGATTCTTGATATCTTTGAAACTGTTGCCGTGGCGACGCATCAAACGCTACCATTCTTTTAGGATGCTTTTGAGACCCCTTAGCATGCTTGAAATTGCATGAACTCGACAGACACATCAACATTTATTAGCCAGTAGACACGTGCAAAGTTTCAGAAACGGGCGTGGTGAGGGCTCAGTAGCGCCCACCTTTTGACAAAAGTGGGGTTGTTAGTTTTATCTACAGTTACAAAAATCGGTATGTATATTGTACTCCTCGAGCCGGACAACTTTCTAATTGACACTCATTAGCTAGGACCCACAGAAAGTCAGATATGTTTGTTTGAATGTGGTCTTGCTCAATCTGATCCTACATCTGTCTTTGCCTGTCTGTGTGTGTCTGTGTATGTGTGTGTGTTTGTAGGGGGAGGGGTCTTAACCATTTCACTCCTGTGTGTATGGCCTGCATAAAAAATAAATGCCTTAAGCCTGGTATTTTTTTAAATAAGTTTTTTATTTTTTATAAGTAAAGGCATATAACCAGTTTAATTGTAGTGCATTAATAGTTTTATATAATTAGTTTAATTAATTAAATTAACTGGGTCCATAAACTTGATCTGAAAATTTGGTCCATAAATCAAACACACTTGCATGTAATAATATGACTTGAGTGTTAATCACATCATGTTTTCAGTTTGAAATATAAAATATAAATTATGTAAAAAAAAATAAAGTTGATCCAGCTGGAGCGCAGCTGAAGAATAGCGCTGTCATGACTGGATCAGAGACATCAGTCATGCCCTCTCATACCTTACGCGCACACCACGCCCACTTACATCAGATCACATCAACAAAGTCAGCCGGAGGGATACCGAGGGTCGCTTTCGGATTCAAGAATTTCCTTACAACAAGATGGCAAAAGAACAGCGCTTTGCAAGACATGCAACGTTAAGATCGCGGACTCAGATGACAACCTCCAATTTCGTCCTCATTTGAGAAGCCCTGCTCCTGTAAGTGCTTGTCAATTTGTTAATGTTATCTGGTTAGCTCGTTCGTAGTTAGCTAGCTAATGTAAGTTAAAGGAGAACTCCGGCGCAAAATTACACATTGTTACCTAGTCAACCGTTATCTGAGATTTGTTTTCATGACTGCCGAATGTAAATAGTTTTATCTATAAAAAAGTTTAGCCTATAAGTGACGTCCGACATTCTGCATATTGTGTTATTTTGTTAAGCCCCACTAAAAGGCAGTAAAAAACTGTAAAGCACAATCAAGTTTTCACACTATATTCCAAGACTTCTAAAGTCATTCAATTAGCTTAATGTGTGGTAAAATTAAATATTTTAGTCTCTAAGTTAAAGTTAACGGAAAGTCATCTCGCC